CTATTGAGTTGCCCGCAAACAACGCGCAAGTGTGCGTTTTGGACTGTACCTTCGAAAGAAAGCTCGATGTAATTAACGGCCGAGTTCCAATCACTGGGAATCTTGAAGTCCGGCTGCAGCTGACGTAATGCGGAGCTGTCAATGACTGGCAGTTCCATGCTAGAATTTGCTCTGACCAAGCTCCGAAATCCACCTGCATGTGTACACGGCAAATCGGTTCAAATGTCTAAGTCCCCCGGCAGTGTATGAAGGTTTAACTCAGGCGACGCGTCCGTTGCTGTCCATCCGTTCGCCTGTGCGTCCGTGGCGCTTGCTGGGCCCAGTTGAGTAGGACCGGAGGGTCCACTGCGTATCCATTTTGGTAGCATGGCTTTCAGAACCGCCATATTACGGAAGGCATGACTCCCAACGTAGATACGCAGTGGGAATGCCAGAGTTTAGCCCATGCCCTCCGCACCCACCAACGTTGTCCATCGGCTGTGGAATTCTGATGTACAGCCCCACGCATTGCCCGTACAGTTCAGACACCGTCTGGGGTAAATAGGTGAGGTTCTTGTACGTCTGCGCGCAGTGGAATCGGAAGGGGCCAAAGGGCGGTGCAAGTACTCTAGCCCTAACCCAGACCGAAACATCGCAGGCCCCACGGCAGTCCACCAAGCCGTCCCAGGTCAGCTGCGAACCTGGAGCGCATGGCGGCTGACCCACGGTGTTTCATGCACCAATCTCTGCTCCTTCAGCGTTCGGCGCTTTATGTATGCGGGGTTCACCCCAAGATGTGATAACAGGAAGCCATGGCAGCTGGCACGGGCCTGCACTAGCGTGCTTGATTTGGGGACGACGATTCAGTTACATCTTGTTCAAGGGACCCTGAGGGTGGAAAGGATGTGCAATTCCTTCGTGCAACAATGCGTTTTCGCATATGGGTCCTGTTCAATCCGTCGGGACTTCTCACCGGCAGGCTGCCCAGCAGCACTCCGAAGGAAGTGACCGCTATGCAGTTCGGATAAGTGTCGCACTCCTCGCCGTACTTAGCGACGATGTCGGCAGTCGGCACTTCAAGTATTGGGGCGTTGATGCGGTTTCGGAGTACCAGCTCTCCGCCGGACACATCTGTGTTTTCATATAAGAAGTAGCCCGAAACCTGAAGTCCAAAGGCCAACAGCAAAGTGTGATGTGTGATGTGTGAAGTGCACTGGATGGGGCTGAAAGCGCCCGCGACGACGCCAACAACCCTAGTACCAACAACCATCGTCACTTTTGTTAGGTTGTCCATCGCAGCTGATGGCACCCAAAAGCGATGCTGCTCGTCGTGCCCTTGTAATCCTTCCTTCGTGCAAGTTATGGCTTTACCTTCACTCTCTGTGTTCTACGTTCCGAACAGCTCCAATGGCCCTTCACGACGGGTTCTGCGCACCTGGGGACACCCGTCGCGTGGTTTGTCTGCACGTATGTAGAACCCCGCACACATGCCTGTGGGGTCCTCCTTCAGGTCCCAGCTGCCAAGCGCGTACCATTGCCCCAGGGTACCGAACGTGCCAACTTCTGCCTTCAGCCACCCCAGCGTGCTGAAGCCCGTGCATGAATCTAATCCGCCACAGACAAATGCCAGGTATGATATCCAGCTGCTTGCGCTTGTGTTAGCTGGCCGCGTTACAAACCCCAAGTTGCGCTCAAGGCTGCCGTGCAGGCGCAGAAAGGTAAAGCCGGACGCTTGTGGGCAAGATACTGCACGCAAGGGCAATAGAGCACGTAAGTATTGGAACACAAAGCAAATTGAAGTCCATCTGAGGTTGGTACAAGCGCTGCTGTAACACAAGCTAGGTTACCAGAACTACACCCCGTAATTTGGAGGTTGCAAGACCAACCTGGCTGAGGGCGCCAGACCCTTCAGACAAAGACCCCAAGACAGATTTATAATAATCAATTTCAGAAATCATAATTATCAGGTATCGCGCGTATCGCGTGTTATGCAGCTCAACATCGGCATGTGATCGATTCTCAGGAAGTGTCGCATGTCACGTGAAGCCCAACATAAACACAAAATATATATTAATGATATGTCCTGTTAGATTAACATGATTCCTGGAGTAGCAAAGGCTGGTGCTGGGAACCGTGTGCGCGAGGTCGTTATACCTTGGTCCATAACACTCCCTGCGCGCTTTTCCTCAGGGCTAGGTCAGGTCGATGCATGTGCAATCCTCTCTGGACATGTGGTGAACCCGTCGCAGAGCAACAGCTATCGCGAGGCAATTTCGAGTCTGGAGACGAACCGTTGCTGCGGCCGACAGACGGCTGCACCCGTCTCTCCCAAGCATAGCTCACGCCAAGCTGAGACATCCATGGATCAAAGCGAAAACTATTCCGCTCTTAAAGCTGACTAGTTTCGGTGGTCGGTATGTGTCTCCCTTCAGGCAAACCCACCTGAGCCTTGGAACTGCGCCGCTGCACCAGTCACCAAATAAAAACCGATGGTAGCAGCATAAAGTTGTAGAATAACATGGCGTCCTTCGTGCATGACGCCGCTGCATTCAGCCCACCCTCATCGGGACGAGGGAAGAGGATGGGCCAGATAGGGGGTAAGGGTTGAGGGAGAGATAGTTACCTATCATCAAAGCGTTTGATTATGCTTCATTTGATTCAACGGAGGACGCTTCCTGTTGGGCCAGCGAAAGACCGAAGTTTTGTTTTGTCGGTACGTGTTTCGGAGCCAAGCGCGTTTGCCAGCTTGCCATGCCAACTGTCTTGTGCAGATTAGACAGAAAATTGTAGGTTGCCCGCTTCCCACTTCAATGGACATGAGCAAATTATTCTGAGATCCCGCACATCGTCCTGCCACTTGATAATGACCTTGTGACTCGCCAACACCAATATTAAGCCTTGCACGAGTATGTTGCGGTCACGCATTACACCTTCGTTGTTGATGTTGCATCGGCGCGCTCTGCAGTCGTTTGCGGAAACCACTTTACCAGGCTTGGCAAAAGTTGACGCATGGACTGCATCGCCCAGGTTTGTTTGTGAGATTTGCAGTTTTTCGCATAGTTGAGATGGCAACTTTTGGGATGATAGAAAAATGTCGGTTGGATAATGCAGCCAGTCGTTGACGGAACGTTGTCGGCCGTCGCATGGCACGTCCATCGGCATCATGGGATTAGAAGGTAACATCCCAGGAGGACAAGCGAGGAACTTGCTTTCACAAGCGCGGTGCTTCGCCCTCCTTGGACTAGAAGGTACGGAAGCCCTGCATCGCCGACCGCACGGGCCCCGTAAGGCTGCCTGTGAGTACCGTGGAGGTAGACATATTCTAGCGTCATACGGCGCTGGACTGCAAAGTGTTCTGGAGCGCACATTCCGTACCTGGTCGCAGCAGGAGCCCAGGGCTTACCTACCCTTCCCTCAACTCCATGCGCAGATGACGACGGGTTGTGATGTTTCTTCTTCCAATACCTCGCGCGGCTGCCCATCCCAGGCATGAACGCGGAAGCAGGTCATCAGGACCTCCAGGCCAGTGCAGACGAGTCGGCTGCTGTAGGCACTACAAACCCAGTGCAGCTTTCGTCGCAGCTACCGGAAGCTGGGCCAGCCCAAATGTAATAGTGGTCGTAAAAGCCTTACCCTAGTGCCGCAAGGTGGAAGTGTTACACATGTAACAGCTTACACCGCCGGATTCGAGATTATCATTTCCACGACCCTGCCTGCATTCAACGTCGCTCGCCCAACACCTAACACTCGGGCCCTCCCATTAAGCCTCGTGCTGAACACGCGCGGGCCACAGGGCTCAGTTGTATGCCGTACCGCCCGACATTGCGTTCCGTTACGTCGGTCACCAATTCAGGCAGGAACCAACAGACGACGCCTGCCAATTCCGTTCATAAACTCCTGAGCGGTGAGGTAGTTCCGCGGCGTGCTGTTCGGAGAGCCACTGGTGTTGCCAGCGCGTCGCCGGGCCACCTGCAGGTTCAGTCTGTATTGAGACTAGTTTGGCGATATGGGCAACTCCTCGCGGTTGCAGTTGCGATGGTGATTTGGTTTGGTCGTGGTGACGATGTGGGTAGGTTGTTTTGGTGATTAACTTGATGCGGATTTCCCGATTTCCCGAATCCTAGGGATGGCTGGCGACGTGCTAATACAGGGAGACTCATGCCGAATTGGGGCTCCATGTAACCCAAATGGCTGGTAGCGCATGACGGCGAAAGGCAGGTGGCGATGGCGAATAAGGTCGAATAAGGCACGGATGGTTCGTGGCGTGGCCTGGAAAATGCGCATAAGATAAGAAAAGATTGCTGGGTAAAGGCGTCCAAAGGTTCAGTTTTCCCGTCACCGAAGTCCGGTTGGTAACCATTATCAAAAGCCTGGCGCCATATCGCCTTGACCTGAAGCCCTGCTATATTTCCCCAGTCCACCTTCACCGGATCCGGAGTCCGTGTCGGATGTTCCTTTTTTTCCTAATGACGTGACCAAAACTACTATGGCGTGTCTGCAGCGCACCTAGAAGCACCAGACGTCACTGCTCCCGCACCTGAAAACTGCACCTCCAAATTCCGCACATCAGGCAACCCCCACCGTACCTCCAAGATGCGCAGCAGATTGCCATCGCCACACGGCACTAACAGCTCCCCAGCTGAGGTGAACAGCACCTGCGCTCTAGCAGCCGATGGCAGCTGTACGGAGGGCTCCGGGAAGGACATGGCGCCGCCAGAACCCATGGTAGCACTCGTGGCCTGGAGGGGATTCGTGGTGGTGATGTTGCCGGCGGCGTTAGGTCCTGGGACCTGTGGTGGCGGAGCTGCTGCTGCCGCTGCCACTACCTTAGTGCGAAGGACCTTGACCTCGATGGGTTCCAGTGATCCTGCCATGGAAGATAGGATATAGGGAGATGGAGTGAAGGAATGGCGCGCATGATATGGTGGTATGGGGATCCATCGGGGTTTGCCAAACCTTGGCTGTGCCAACATTTGCTCCTTTCTCTTTCAGACTTTCCTTTTTCCATGGCCCCCAGACGCACCTGTCGTTTTGTTTTCCACCAGCAGCGAGGCCCGACTGCCCGGCCAACCTGCCATGGCACGCACGTGGTTGTGGCACTGTGCCGCACTGCACCGAAAGTCCAACAAACCCTCGTGCTTGGCCACCTGCATGGTCTCAGCCGTCGCCCCAACAGCCGGGCAGGCAGGCAGGCGAGCACCAAACAGGGAAAGGCGCCTTAGTTACACATCGCCGCTACCTGCTCGCATTCACATGTGTCCATGAATTTGATTTTGCGTGCAGACCCTTTTGGCAATTGCGTGGACAAGTGAACATACGCTATGCTAGTTTTGAATTTGAACGCGTTGTAATGCGATGAACTATCTCCCCAACGAAGCCTGGCACGGCCTGGACGGCACGTAACTGCCTGCGTAACCACCGCTAGAGCCAGCATGCACAGCTCTTCACGGCACACAGGCAGATAAGTACATCGGTGAACAAAACGAATGGCGAAGGTTGCACATGTGTGGCATGTGCTTGAAGCCATGCTGTAGCTGGCAAGCTGCTAGGAAGGGCGGCTCTATCGTGCTTTAAATGTGGGGACATAAGCTCTGTCCTCATCACGTAATACTCCACTTGCCGCACCTTGGACGCGTACGATGCTGCCGCCTCGTCCTGCAGCACGGCGTCACGTGCCGTCACAGCACCTGACAGCAGCCCCGGTAGCTGGCGCAACAGCATCTGCGAGCCCAGCCTGAACATCTGCTCCGTAAGCTCCGGAGCCTGGATGTCGGGGTCGATCCGCATCTATGTACAACAATCATGGCGGGAAGCCCAAGACCGCACCGTCAGGCGACACGCACTTGCATTAGCCAACGTGGGTGTTTTGTCGAGCGTTTGACAACTGTTGTTTTCTGTGGGGCAGTACAGTACAGTAGAGTACAGTATAGTACGGCTCAATGCCTTGGTAGCCTTCCGGGCTTGGCAAGAACGGTTCAGGTTTCGCAGCTGTTCCGCCCTGCCCTGCATTTTTCCTTGCAAGCACACAACACACACACACACACACACACACACCGCCCACTCGCGACAGCACCCTACAGCTACATGTGAAGGCTCAGTCGTTTCGTGGCCAAGACTTCCGCTCCTCCTTCAGCGCCGGAGGATGTTATGCAGGCAGTTCTGCTGGTAGCAGGTCAGGCACCCCACACCAACATGGTTGTTCGGTTGAGAGTACCTGTAAGGAAAAAATTATTTCGCCCTTCCCCTCCTCTCTCTCCGTTGTTCTTGGAGGCCTCACACCTGTTGCTGCTCCAGCACCGGCCCGGCGTCGCACTTGAGAACCGTAAACACCAGGCTCACGCCGCTAACGCTACACCCCTCCTGGAGTGCCCGTGCCACCGGCGCTGCCCCGCGGAACCTGGGAATCGGAGTGGCCCCGACGGGGTCGGTGACGGAGGGAAAGCCATGCGCAAAAGTCGGTGCGGGGTGCTGGGCGGCGGAGGCGCACCAGCAAAAATGGTTGAAAAAAACAGTAAAATCCATAAACCCTCATCCCATTTTAGAGTTTCAGTTATTCACTTGCAGGACCTCCATCTATATTGTTAATACCATTTGTAATGTGGGGCAGTCAGACTGTTGGAAGGCCGTTTGGCGGCTGGATTAGCGCTTTTTCCCAGCCGCGGCTGCTGTGCATGCATCCTTTAGGCAGCGGGCAGCTAGACACCCTAGCTGCCCATTCACAGCTCTCAAAAGTACAGCAAATCTTTCAGGCACAGCCCATAACGAGTATTTATGGATATCTTCAAACATGGATAATTTCAAAAGGATGCTTATCATGCCTACTTTCATGAACTGACCCGAATCTTTTATTATTGTTGAAGGGTTTTTGCAATTTTTCCTGAAAACCCTTTGGGTTGTTTGGACTTGTTGTCCTTGGCGCCAGTCCAGGACTCCCTGGACTACCTATCGTAATGCCCTTTAAACCATGAGCTTGCCGCTCCCCTCTCACCCACTTGGGTAACAAACTGGGATGAATGTTAAGGGTGCCGTACGTGGGGATGTCCAGGAAGGCTTGAGGCAGCATGCCGCCGTATGCTGCAGTGATAGCTAAATCCGGGCGCATTTGCCGTACAGCATCCAGGAAGTCCGGCTGCGGCGGTTTGGAGAGTCGGTCGGTGATGGAAGGGTACGGCGGAAGGATAATTAATTTTCTTCACTCATCATTCGAAAAGTGGGTCCTTGGATCTCGTTGCCACTTGTTGCAGTAACGGTACGGCACACGGCATTATAGATGGTGCCGTAACAATACGGTATGCGCACACGGGGAAGTTGGCATGCGAAGAAATTGAGAGCTAACAACCTCGCCAACCGCCCCTTGACGCCAAACCCGCTGAGGTACATCGTCACACCTTTCCACGAACTATTTGTAAAACGGCAGTACAAAGCCTGCGTGCTCGTGCCTTGGCCCTCTAGCGTAACGCCTTCCATACGTATGGGTGCCCCTTCTAGGGGCCCTCAGAGCCGCTCCTTACCACCACCTCCTCTAGCACCCACAGCCCGCTTCAAGACCCCTATCCCTACCTACTCTCTCTTGCCCACCTCCTTTGCGCTGACGGGACACAAAATGCGCTCCGCGGGGATTCCGTTGCTCCCAGCTACCTGCTCCACGGGGGATGCGCTGTGGTGGGCCCAGTTCGGAAGCCGCTGCTGCTGCTGCTGCTGCTGCAACTGAGAAAGCGAGTCCATCCATGATGTTGCGGCCGTGCCCATGGCCCCACCGGCTGGACCCACCATCACCGCCGCAGTCGACGCCTGCCGCTGTCGCTGCCTCTCATGCCACTGGCGGCTGCTGGGGCGGCTCACCACTGCGGTGACCTGTGCACGGCGCGAGGATGGAGAACCCCGTTTGGCGATGTGTTCTGTCTAGCAAACTAGATTGCATAATCTTTGGTAACCGGGCCCGCTCAGCGTCATTGCTGGCCGACAGTTATGGTGCCCGTACTTTCTGCCGTCAAAATACGGTGCTCGCGATTCGAGAGGACACTGTCGACAAAGAGCGTAGGAGTACATCTGTACGGAACTGTTATGGCTATGCTTCATTAACGACATGCACGGTTGTGCGAACGAAGAAAACATTCTGGATTGAGATGGACGGACCTCGAAATTACTTCCTGGTGCGGCAGCTGCTTGTAAAAGCTCCTGGAGCACGAGCGCCGAAACCTTCCAGCAGGACGAGGGGAAACAAAGGGTAGGAAAGCAGCTAGAGCAGGTGGGGAAAGTGGGCGTACGAAGACAGGGGCTGAGTGGGTGGGAGGGAGAGGAGATAGAGAAGCGGGTCTATGTAAAGCCTCGACCTCCCCATCCCCCCTGTGCATGACAGGGCCAGGAACGGGGCACCGTCCAGGTCGGCATGCTGTTAGGTGTGCGACGCTAGTCGTACTTAGTGTAGGGCTCCCCGTAGTTATACCCGCTCCCGGCAATACTCATTCGAGGCGTGCCTGCGGGGTGCCCAGGAAGACGACGCGCTTGCGTTCATTACCGCTTCCCGGCGCTATCAGGGACGGGACACCGCTGATATTAGACGAGAAGGGCCGATGGAATTTCCCCCCTATGAATCCAAGCGCCACCGCGAGCCGGGCCATAGAACCCCTCGCCATTGGGAGTCGAGTCCCTCCCTGACGGCTTTACGTGCAGGTGTAAAGCTGTGCGGGTGAGCTTGTTGTCAGGTTCGGTTTTCTCAACGAGGAGGCATATTTATCAGCTCTCCAGGAGACGGTGTTCAATTTCGGCCTGATTTCTCCACGGGCAAGTTGCAACTTCGGCTCGGTTGTTGACCATGCATCATAAGGTGGTCTCGTAATGATAACACACTCGCATACTGTTACATTGCGGCGCATACCATGGTTGCAACTGAGCGCACCTGGTTACACAGGACAGGATGCAGACTGGTGTGTGCAAAATGGAAACAGTGTACTGCAACTGTTTATGTAACCGAAATCGTCGGTGAACAGCATTCCCAGCAACAGGACAGTTCTATGGATGACAGTTGTTGTGCCTGGTAATGCCTACACCACGTGCCATCTAGTGTGCCGTCTTTGGCCGTCTCAGCCCTTGCCGCTTTGCTGCCCTACGTTGTTTCTTTCTCTACCCTAAACATTAGTAGGGAGTTCGTTTTGGCGTAGTGAATTAATTTGAAGCAGTTCACACTGATAAGATAGGCGCCTTGGCACCACCTTTTTGACTCCGTTAAGCACCGGAATTACTCGGAATGGCAGACGACTTTTACCTTCGGTACTACGTAGGCCATAAGGGAAAGTTTGGTCATGAGTTCTTGGAGTTCGAGTTCAACAAGGACGGTCGGGTGCGCCTAACTTTTGTCGGCGGGCATTTCCATTTTATTTGTGACGGGCTCGAACATGCTGACGCTATTGATTTCCTTTGACCCGCCGCAGCTTCGTTACGCGAACAATTCCAACTACAAGAACGATGAGATCATCACTAGGTGGGCTAGCTTGGAAGGCCTGCAGCAGTAGCCATAGCTATCGGTGTTGGGCTGGGAGATGTGTTGTTAAGATAATGACGTACGGCGCATGTTGAGTGTCCCACCGGTATGCTTGACCCCGTTTTGCGCAGGGAAGTGTACGTGAGTCAATCAGTCATTGCGGAGCTTAAGCGCATTGTGGAGGACAGTGAGGTAGGTTACAAGGGGCCTTGATGGTGGCTCGGAGGGAGACATGTGGAATAAGGATTGTGGGCACTTCGGGGTTCGGTTCGTTGGAGCTCCATGCCGGTAGGCAACTGATGTACCACGCCCCAAGCTGCGGAGGGTAAAACTTCTCTACCCACCCTGCAGATCATGAAGGAGGACGACAATAACTGGCCCGCTCCGGATCGCGTGGGGAGACAGGAGCTGGAGGTGGTGCTTGGTGGGCAGCACATTTCCTTCACGTGCACCAAGCTCGGGTCTGTCTTGCAAGTTCAGAACAGCAAAGATCCAGACGGCCTCCGGATTTTCTACTATCTGGTCCAAGACCTCAAGTGCTTTGTCTTTTCGCTTATATCGGCACACTTCAAGATCCAGCCGATCCAGAAATAATTGAAGTAACCTTTTAACTCGATTCAGCGTTTCTCCTGACCTGTGCTTGTGTTTTTTGGGTGGATGGTGTCTGACACATGTCTCGAAGCATATGATGGCTTGGTTACATGGCCGTGCCTACATGGTAGTAATGCGTTTGGATGAGTGCCATATGCTGATTGCAGGAGTTGGCCACACATGCAACACGTCCAGAATGACCCACGGACCACATCTTGACTGCATTCCCGAGATTGCATGGCTAAGAGTAACAATGCGGACAGAAATGAGCATTCCACCAATGTAAATGCGATAAGTATTTACGCATCGGAAAATGCAAATTAAATTCCTCAGTATCATGCAACAGATGCAAACCAATCTGGTATCGATGCCAAATCGTGCATGATGCAGAACGAGGGCAGCAAATGTGTGCCGTACAGCAGCCACTGCTACTTCTTCGCCTTGGGCGCCTTGCCCGCCTGCACCACGGCCGCCTGCGCTTCAAGAGTAGTCGCCTTTTGGGCGAGCTTCCGGTTAACCTCCTGCAGCCGTGCCAACTCGCGCTTTACTGTGATCACGCTCTCGTCCAGCTCCGCCAATTCCATGGTCTTGGATACCAGCTGCTGTACCAGCCGCTCGTTTTCGGAACGCAGGTTGCGCAGCTCCTCCATGTTAGCGCTGCTCATCGTGACTGCGCCACTGGCTCCGGCCGAGCGGCCCCTGAACGGAACATCAAGTAACACCATGAACGCGGCTTATTAGCCTTGGACCTTCCGGTGGGAGAGGAAAACACGCAAAGGATTGAGCAAAGCAGCGCAGCATGAAAAACATGGATACATCAAGAGCACTTACTGCGCAACTTGGCCTAGAAGCTGCTTGACCTTGCTCTGAAGTTCCGTGACTTGTGTCTGCGCCTCTGTGAGCTGGTCTTGAAGCTCGTCGATCTCCTCCTGACTGCTCTCCTCTAGCATCTGCACGAATTAAAAAAGGCGAACAAGAAAGGCACCACAGCCACGTTGAAATGATGACATAAATGAGAGCCCTTGCTTGGGCTTCCAGGAGCCCATACACCACCTGAGCTCACCGAACCATGACAGAGAAACAGAAAGCCACCATTCCTTGCATGTCGCACCTTATAGCGCTCCTTCAGGCGGTTATACTTGACCTCGAAGGCAGCGACGGTCTCCGCAGCCTCGTCATCGCCAGCGCGGTCAAGCTTGTCCTTCAGCATATCCTCAAGCTTAAATCACGGATCGCACAAATGGGGGCATGCGATTCAGCTTATGCATGTCGTCGAGGGGCATTCATGGTGCTGCCGTGGCCTTCCTATCCACGCCACGGTGGGAGCAGCGCTACAGCCCTAGTCCATGACTGGACGCATTGCCCCGCAAAACTACCTTTCCTGAAATGACCACGATCTGGTTTTCACCAGGGCTCGCCCTAGGGTTGTCCAATTCCGAGCGCTTGCTCACCTCCTTTCGTGTAGCCCGCTCTTCGTCCAGCTGCTCCTCCAACGTCGCCCTGTCACGCGCCAGCCGCGCGACACGTGCTTCCAAATCGGCCATCTTCTCCTTGGTCTGCCGCCCGCTGGCGCCAGTTGCCTCTTCCTCCATCTGCAACACAGCCACATACCACAGAAACATGCACATTGGTTGTCAGCGTTTGGGTGTTGGTTAACGCGAATAGTCTCAGTGGCTCACACTTGCAGAAAAGGCCAGGGGGCCCCCAAGCTCTTGTACCAGTGCTGTGCAGTGGCGTGCTATGTGTATGCTGCGCGCGTCAGCACGACACAGCAGTTGTCCGCCCGTCAGCGGAGCGAACTGCACAACTGCCCTGCACCAACCTACCTGGTCCCAAGTTCCCCACCCACCCTGGCCGACAAACAGCAATGCAGTGCAATCCCAACCGCGTTCGCTTTTCCGACCGACGGACTAATTCACGTCAGGGTCGAAGGTCTGCGGGCGAGCTAGCGTAGGATTGGCACCAATGCTTTTGCTTCTGCCAGGGTTGGGTGGGGCACTTGGGGTGGCTGGGGTGCAGGGCGGGCTCAGACCACGGGCCTTCCTCACCCACATTTAGCCTTTGGGGGCCCCAGACACCCCCCCTGCACCCCGCCACTGCGCACCACCCTTACCCGCTTCTGCAACGCGGTTGCGGAGGCTTCCAGTCCACGAATCATTTCCTTGGCGGTCTGCGTACGTGGGGCACACGGGCTTTAGAAACCTCTCCAATGAAGACCTGAGCTTCTCAGGTAGGCAATCAAGAACCAGGAGGGATTATTGCACACAGCAATCGACACCACAGAACAAGAAGTTAGAGCTGCATGGTCAACAAGTAGACACTATCACCTACGCATCCTCCATTTTGTCCGAGGTGTAAAGCTTAATCTTGCAGCCTGCAATAACCCAACTTAGATGGCCAAACGCACTATCAGAACCCCATGAATTTACTCCTGTACATAAGCCGCGCCAGAAACAGCGACCCGTGACACGCAAGGTTGCGCTAACCGTGAGGCTTGAGCTAAGACAGCCGGAGTACACACCTCCAACTCCGTTTCGAGTATCTCCGCTCGCTCTTGTGCAGCATGCGCCTTCTTTTCCAAGTCATCACAAACTGCCTCAAGCTTCCGGTTGGCAGCCTGAAGCTCTTCAAGGCGTTTCTGCAAGTATACAAAGGGATGGTACAACCCCTGGGCAGCGTGCAAAAAAGTGACCGAGACTACCAGGTTGGCTAGACGTACGACAGCTAGGAATATACGTATGCCACGATCACCAGGTCTACTGTTGAAGAAGCCTTTGACATACCTTATCCTCTGGATCAGATAAAATACGCGACGCGCGGCCCCTCGTGGACACCTGGCGGAGGAAGCAGACATGGCAGACACAGATCTCGGTCCTAGGTTGTGAACAACGAAAAAACGCACGTCGCATCATTCCTTATGCTTAGCGCAACAGCCTTTCGCCTTGTGTTTGGTATTTCGCTTGTTGGGGTAACTTGACCCCCCGCCTAAACAGGCCATCCACTTCTTTGGCTGCAGCTGGAACTTTGACCGTCAGCATCTGATGGTCGTGCGCTGAACCTGTTCGTTTTGGGACCTGTTGCTTTCGCGCTGTTTCCATCGCTGTCAGCTGCCGGCGCCTGAAGGTCCTGCGGGTTCATGCTGGCTGAGCTGCCCGCCAGGCGCCACAGTTTACGCATACCTGCGACGGGTAAACCAAGCAGGTCCCGTCAGGTTGGTGGCCTTTCGCGGGTGTATGCTGCGTGCTTTCAACACTGGATAGGATAACAGGGGCGTGTGTCCTGGCTATCTGGTATGCGTCCCCGCTCAGCTGTCAGGTTGTGATCTAGCTGGGTGTCGGGTTAAGGACCACCGCTTTTATTCCGGACAGCTGCACAATACCATCGCGGCCATTGCCGTGCCAGAGGACGCCCACGCTAAGTTCTCCCTTCAATTACGTCACAACACAACGGCAGCACTGCAAGCACATCGGATCCAGCAGGCCGCAGAACGCCTCCCAGGACGACGAAAGAAGGTACCTTGGCAATCCACATAGACGAGCAAACCTGGTGCAACCCATTTGCCTGTGAAAAAGGATAAATGTCCGCACCTGCGACGGCGTGCGCTCCAAGCTGCCAGAGCCGCTGGAATCAAGCCCCTGCCTCGTATGCGCGAGTTCGTGCTGCAGCGCCGCAACCTCGGCCTCCAGTCGCCGATTCGTGGACGAGGCTTTTGCAAGGCTGGCGGACAGCTCGTCGCGCTGGACCTCGACCATTGCTAGCCGCTGCTCAAAGGCCGACAGGGTCAGGGTGTTCGCGTGGCCGTAGCTGTATGGATTGCTGGCCCCGGTGGCACCTGCAGCAACGGATCCCCCGTATGACGACTGGCATTCTTCTGCGGCGGAGCCCACACTGTCGGGACCCTTGCGACCGCCCGTCAGGCACTCCTCCAGCTGCTCCGTGAGGTGCTGGTTTTCAATCTCGGCATCCTCGAGCAATGCCTGGAGCTCCTCTATACGGGTTGTGGCCTTGGCGAGCTGCGCCTCAATTGCTGCGACCGCCGCTGTGTTCGAGGATGCAAGGCTAGGTGGAGCCCGGAGCAGCGCGCTGTACTTTTCTTGCAACTCAGATATTTGTACCTGAGACAAGGAACGGCATTGACAGCGGCTCTTTCAGTTTTATCGGATCACCAACAAAAGATGGCGTGGGAGGACCTAAGAAGCTGCTTACCAGGAGAGTTTGCAGCGCTTTTACCAAGTCATCAGCATCGCCAAGGCCGCTGGGACTAGGCTCCTCGAGATCGTCCTGAGCTTGCCGGTTTAATGCTACTTGCCGTATGAGGTCTCGCACCGCTACTCGGAGGGCGGCAAGGTCATGCTCTGCGTCAGTCTGCCTCGCGATGTCCACATGGGGAAGGGAGGGGGCGCCGCATTGGCTACCCCTGCCGCTGCTCATGCGCCCGCTCTTGCTGGAGCGTCCTGACTGGCTGTGGCTTGCAGGCTCCTCGCCTCTCCTGGCCTCCAATTGTTCCAGCTGATCACGGAGGCTGAGGACCTCCAAGGACAGACGCTCGTTTTCATTGTTAGATGCGTCAAGCGCTTCAGTCAGGTCCTCCAAATCCGACGTGAGGCGGCTGACGGCGTTCTCCACTTCGCTCTTTTCCTCCTGCGAACGGAAGGTATGAGCGGTATAAGCAAGCCTTCATGAAGCGGATCATGGCTGACAACTGACAACTGCCGCCAATTTTGCACTAGAAGGTTTAACAAAGCCCGCATGCCTTTTTTTAGCGAGGGTAGTATGCTGAGACCTACCTCCAGGTGCTGGATTTCAAGGCGTAGCTCTTTTAAAGTGGAACGCAGCTCGGATCGCTCCCTCCGGAGCATTGCCAGATCCTCCTCAAGTGCTTCAATCTGTTGCTGCAGCTCTGCAACCGCAGTGGCGGAACTGGCCTCAGCCGCGGCCTCATCCTGCGACGCTACCCTCGTGGTGGCAGCGGTGTTCTGGTACGACACACTGGGCACATCGGCCGCCGAATCCGAGGGATTGAGGACCCCGGATTCGTGCGACACAAGAGGCACGCGCTCAAGCTCGGCGCGTAGTAACACGACGGTGCTCTCCAGCTCGGCCTTCTCCTATGTCAACAATCAAGTGGAAGGTACAGAAGATTCAGCTCCCGGCGAAACCGTATTGGCCTATATACGAAGGAGCCCTACCCACACAGGATATGTGCTTTACATTAAAGCCGTAAAGGCCCCATTGCATAACCAGCTCTGCAGTATATGCTGGCATGCAAATGGCCAATCAGACAGACCACACGACATGTAAGCTGCGAAAGATAACTGGGTTACGCTCAAGGATCGCACCTGCAAGACGAGCGAAAGGCGACTCTGCAACTCCTGCACTTGCTTTTCCGCTTCAAGCATGCCGAGATGGCTTTCACCGCCCTGGCCTGCCTGTTGCGTGACGACTTCCAGGCTAGCCTGCAGCCCTGCGACGGCCGCTTCCAAGGAAGCGTTGCGAGCACGCAACTGCTCAAGCTCCACATGCCAGCCCCTGTCCACGTGGCCTGACCCCGTACGAGTTCCGTGTGATGCAGCTTCGCTGCCCGCCTCCGGCTCCTCCTCATTTTTGCCGTTGCAGGTCCCAGCGACACCGGACGTAGGCTCTTTGCCATTGTTACAGTCCCACGGGTCATTCCGAGGGTGATCGGTCAACGCGAAGTCCTCCCGAGTTCTGACGTGCTGCGACTGTGTCTCCATGAGCTGCATGCGAAGTGCCGACAGTGAAGATTCAAGCCGTGCAATCTGCTGTCTCAGCTCCAGCACCTCCGCTGTGTCGGCGAGCTGTGCCGCAGGAACTGGAACTACCGCCGACGACGAGGCGACTGATGCCAATTCAGTCGCAGAAGCCCGTCGCTCCGCTTCTTGCGCCCTGGAGACAGCCTCTTGCA